CAAAGAGAAGAAACCTCTCTATTATAATATAACTTCAAAAATCTGATTACAAGAGTTATATTCTCCCTTATTTATAGTTGGAACATCCCTCCAAGAATAGGAAAAGACTTAGCAAATGAAAAGACACTAATTTAAAGTTGACAACTTGGTAAAGGAAAAGACTCTAATCAGCCCACTTGGAAATGTGAATCAACCCCACTAAGCATTAATAACATTGAAAATGCTTTCAGCCCCACTAAGCATTAATTGACATTGGAAATTGCTACCCATTTCACTCAACCTCCCTTGCATTGATGACATTGACTAAATTCTGATTATGAATAATTTTGGGCTTGATATCTTCATGATTAGCCCACATTTGTTGGATCAACCCACTAAGAGCTTCTTTAAACTTCTTGGCCCTTGATCTTGTGATTGGACCATTTGGCAATTGTAATGGATCATTAGGTGTTGTCTCCTTATTCATATCATATCATGATCCAAAAAATAATGGAATACGAAGCAACATAAATATACTCCAAAATGGCGGTAGCCTACAAATACTCAAAAATCCGGTCCGTCGTAGCACCTCTACCCACGGGTCGTGTCCCTGCCTCGTGAGGGCTCACCAGGAATCTGAGAACCTGAAATGATGTCTCCAAAAAGGGGTGAGATAACAAATCTCAATAAGCTCCAGGTTTATAGAGAATTCTTCATATCCCTGGGCTCACTCCTGCATGAAAGTCAGATACAGAGTATACATAACATCATATAACAGATATAATAACAAAACAAAGCATGTATACATATCTTATCAGAAGCGTACGCAATCATTCCCAAGGGAGGATCCCAAGCAGAATGAACGCATGTGTTCCCAAGGGAGGACCCCAAGCAGAACTAGAACATATCAGAGGTGTACACATTCAGTCTCGAGGGAGCACCCCAAGCGGGCATCAGTGCACAACTAATCAATGGCCAAAGATCAATACAGAAATCACATCTGAACAAATCATATCATGTTATCAAATAACTCTATATGAATGTATCTATACAAAGCATCAAATACAATCATACAATCCAACCATAGTTCACCAACCATGGTGGAGCACTCAAGCAGGAAAAGACTCCTTAAACATAGAGCTTACCTTTTGAAGCTTTACCAATTTGCTCACTCGTAGCACAAGTTACCTATTTAGCTCTAAAAGAATCCACAAATGCTCAGTTCCTAGGCACACCTAGAGAAAGAATCCAAAATGAAACTCAATAAAATGCTACGATGCCATGTAATTACAAGACAAACATTTTATTGTTTATTTTCATTTCTTTTCATTTATGCCAATTCTATGTCAATTTACGAGTCAAGACCATACTTTCATAAATTCCTTTATTAGACCGTTTTAAGGTTGATTACATGAACCACAAGCACCCTCATGGTTTCATACCCACATAGGGTCCTAAAATAACCCAACCAAGCTTCTAAAATACCGTTGTATAATTTTTAACATTTCCTAGCTCCCCAATTTCCTACATAGCCGAAACTAATACAAGGGAAACTAGGAATTCCCAACAATTCATTTCGTAACACAAGGTTTCTAAGTTGTTTATGTATTCCCTTAACTAATTAAGCAAAACTTAGGTATATTTTCTTTCAAGAGGTCGTGGGGTTCATTTTAAAGGAACCAAAATATCTTTCATAATTTCTCAAACCATTTCACTTAATAATTTTACCAATTTCTTGCATTGGAAACTCAACACACCATCCAAATAGTTTTTACCATAATTCTCCCTAAATAGACCCTAATGACCGAATTCCATAAGGAGGTTTTCCAAGGAATTTTCAACAATGCAATCTCACTTTCACACTTAAGCTCAACATACACTAATATTCAAACCTTCACAATTTATGTAATTAAATTTTTACACAATAAACCCTACATAACTCATCATGGCCGAACCTAGAGAGGGAGTGCAATGGGATTTTTTTCAATTTTCCAAACACATGTTAATGCTTAATTCACACTATAACTTCCTAAACAACACCAATTCATCACTAATTTCCAATTTCAAACTCAAAGTTTCCCACCAAAACACACTTCAAAATTTCAAAACTTGAATCGTACAAATTAAGCCATGGAAATAGAGATTTCTTACCTCTAATCCCTTATACAAAGCCTAGAGAACAACCTCCAAGCAAAGCTCCATCAAAAGCTTCAATTTCCACACTTAATGAATAGTAACTCACAAAAGGGGAAGGGAAGAACTCCTCACACAAGTAATTTTAGCCCAAACCAAGGGGTGGAATGGATTCCTTGGGTGATTTACTATGGATTTTGTGTAATGGACTTAATGATTTTGTTGAAGATTTAAGGAGAAATCAGAGGAAAATAAAATGAAAAACCTAAGTCCTTCCATGGTGAAAAGCTCGGCCTTGGAGAGAGAGAAGAAGAGAAATCTGAAATGAATAGTGTCATGTTTTACTGACTTTGACTTATATGCATATGTGGCATTTTACCGGTTGTTTTTCTTTCGCGTATTTTCACTTAAACTGACCCGAAACAAACTTAAAGCTACGAACATATTTTTATTTTTCTGAACTCATTTACATTAATTTTTATTTCCTAAGGAACAATATTCATAATTCACAGTATGGTTTCTGCCCCGTTTTTTATGAAATGCACTGTGAATCACTGACTGTACACCATTTGCATATGAAACTTAAAACTTATAAACTTATCATTCTTGGGTCTATTATGACTTGTTTGGCATATATTGGACTTTCTTATTCTTATTCCATCAATTATTTAGTTCTGGGCTCTACCGGTTGCTTAAACAGCGGTACAAAATACCTGGCAGAAAACACTATTCATGAGATTTTCACGAAAAGTGACAGACTATATAGTTTTTCATTCTGAACTCATATTTGGCATCAGAATTGCCAAATTAAGTCTCTAAATTCATTTTGCTTATTCTGAGCTCTACCGATTGTTTCACAACAATGCAAATCATCCGGCAGAAAGCACTGTTCACGACCTAGTCATGATTACAATCAAAATACTCGAAATTACGATCTGAATCTAATTAGGGTCATTATACAATGCAATCAATCTATTACATCCAAGAATATATTGATATTCATCAACCAAACAATCAAATTCACACCACAACTAAGGCATGAACTTACCAATTCCAATGAGCTAGTCAAGCTCCATGGCTTCCTCCAAAGGTTGGTCCTTCAATATTGGTCCACAAGGCTCAATCCTATCACCACAAGGGACACAATCAATCATCCAACCAAACCATGGCTCAACAATGCAAGAAACTCAACATTTCAAGCATTAATATTTCCCAAATATTGAAACTACAACAAATGACAAACTAACTTCACTTCTATCGTTTATTTATCATTCCTAACAACTTTTACAAAAGAATTTAACTTCAGTCTCACTCTAACATACCCCACTATTTATGCATTTCTCAAAATAAAACCCTAAACATGCACCTCCTTCAAATTAACCAAAATGGATGGAAAACTTAGCATAATCCAACCACAATGGTCCAAGGTGAGGGTTCCAAACCACAAGAATGGAAGTCTCCACCTCAAGCTCCACCAATATCAAATTGTTTCCCCCTTCCACAAGAAATATCTCCCTCCACAATGATTTCCACTCAAAACTAAGTTAGGGTTAAGAAAGAGGAGAAGATTTGAAGTGGTTTTGCCTTTGGAATGAGTTGATTTGGATAAGAAATGAGAAAGTTAGGATTTGGAGTTCAATGGCTATGGCTCCTTTTCTCCTTTACCAAATTTCCAACGAAGAAGAAGAATGAAATGAAGCCTATTTTGGCTTTCTTTCACTTAACTTACTTAAGTTAAGTTCAACCCGGTAAAAACTCATCTATCTATTCAACTCCGTTCTCTTTCAAACTTTACCCAGAGGTCTGAAATATTTTTCTAATAATATTTCTATTTTTACTTTTATACTTTGGGTACTTTTGCCTACACATATTTTTACCCAATAATTTTCACTGACTGCACTTTTTACCTTAAAAGTGACCCTAATTAATTTAATTAGGCCTTTTACTTATTTCAACCCACTAATACCTGCTAAATTACTTAATTCCATGCAATTTACTATTTAATCAGGTTAGGGATATTATATATATCCTTTGCAAAGGGTTTTGGGCTCCCCCGTACCATTTCCAAAAGTGGTATCAGAGCCAACGGTGTTGGGCCAAGTATTTGTAGGTTGTGATATTTCAGAACATCCGCAAAAGATTTGTGTGACTTCAATACTTAAAGAGAAAAGATTTTTCGCAGAAGTTGCCCTCGGAGAGGAGCATGATGTTGGACCTCACACTTGAGGGGAGAATGTTGAAAATATTCAAGTGTGAGTTATAAAGAAGTGCTAAAGACCCACCTAGAGCATTAAAGTTTTGGGTTGAGATCTAGTGTCACCCAACTTATTATGATTTATTATTTGACCCATTAATAAATATATCATTTACAAGGGATTTTGGGCTCCCATGTACCCTTCTCAACAATATGGACGCTTTTTGGCCGAAACTCTTTCTGATTCATTGGGTTGTCTGTCTTCAGACAATGAGAGTATCAGTCAATTTAGTATCAAAAGTCCCATATGGACCACAAAGAGTTAGGCCTTGTTGTTTCATTTGAGCAACAGTTTTTTTTTTTTTTTTTATATATAAAAAAGGATAATGTGTCTAATTTGGATAGTGTATTAGAGTAAAAAATAAATTAATAAAATAAGACTATATTTTCCCCTCTTTTCCGGCAATTTTGAGTCTCTATCTCGCTACAATCAGTTTTTCTTTCTTTTTAAAGTAGTTTACTATATAGTTAACTACTTAATTTACATACAAGTTATAACTTTGGACAAATGTGGCGAGTGGCTGGAACAAATGTTAAGCTGCAGAATTTTGGATACATGAAAACAATAAGATAAGTAAAACATTAAATTCTGCAAGAACTATCACATTACTCCAACTAACTCAGAAAAGTATCTAAAGATTTTCCAGTGAGAAATTATGGGGTAAAGACAAAACTTGAACTTGTGAAAATCATTGAATAAATAGAATACTACACTTGCATGTCAGAAACTTGAAATAAAAAAAAAAACTCTATCTAGCTTCTAACAGTGTCACAGTTAACTTATTATTGGAAGAGTTCATTTGATTGCCAGATGAAGTTTCCCCTGCATTCGACATCTTTTCAATAAGGAAACCAGGCTCCTTAGGCTGTGGCAAAGTAATTTCACTGCTCAACATCAAAATTACTGATCCCATGTTTGGCCTATCCTCAGGATGAAGTTGCACACATAGAAGACCAACATGGATGCAGCGTAAAACTTCTGATAAGGTAAAGTCGTCACCTAAGGAAGCATCAACTAATCTCATTGGAGTATCCTCTTTCCACAGTCTCCATGTCTGCAACAATGAAAAATTATTTATGATATTCCAGCAGTTTATCGTAAGTAAATATAATCAAAGTTATGTTCATTGTCACTTACATGTCCTAAAAGATTAAATCCATGATTTGGATAGAAAACTCCTGTGTTTTTCTTCCCACTTACTATTTCCAGTAGTAAGACACCAAAGCTAAATACATCAGATTTGATGGAGAATATCCCATCAAATGCATATTCTGGTGCTAAGTAGCCACTTGATGAAATTGCATAAATGAGTTAGTTATATCTTCACAAATGAGTAAAAAAATTAAATACAACTTGGAAATCTAGCTAATGTACACTTACTATGTTCCTGTCACCATTTTTGTATTCCCTTCAGTTTGATTTCCACTAAACATTCGCGCCACGCCAAAATCTGATATTTTTGGATTCAAGTCACTATCTAGTAAAATATTACTTGCTTTGAGATCTCTATGTATGATCCGTAATCTAGAATCTTGGTGAAGATAAAGAAGCCCCCGAGCAATTCCAAATATAATGTTAAAGCGCTTAGACCAATCTAGGAGTCCACTTTGAGAAGAATCTGTCGAGTTTCATAGTTAATTTAGAAAAGAAACAAATGAAGTTCTTCAGTCTAATGAAAAATTTTACTTGCACGCACGTACCAAACAGAAAGGAATCTAGGCTTTTATTAGGCATGTATTCATAGATGAGCACTTTTTCCTCTCCTTGGGTGGAACAACCAAGAACCTTAACGAGATTTCGGTGCTGAAGTTTGGCACACAATATAACTTCATTCTTGAATTCTTTAGTTCCTTGTCCAGATTCATTTGAAAGCCTCTTGGCAGCAATCTCTTGTCCATCTGCTAGTGTACCCTAAAAATCAAATTGAATTTGTTGAATAATTATGACAATGAACTAAAAGAATGACTATTTTTTTTATCTTGTATCTTATTAACAGCTACATTTTATATTTAGTTATTTACCCTATACACAGGTCCAAAACCACCTTGGCCAAGCCTCTTGTCACTAGAGAAATCATTAGTGGCACGAACTATTGTAGCAAAATCAAAGAAAGGTAGGTCCAAATCTTCTTCATGGCCTTCATCTTTATTTTCTTCGAAGGTTTTTTCTGTTTTCTCCCAAGTAAACTAATCAGCTTAGCATCATAAAATAAGAAAACAGAAACATTCCTATGAAGGCATTATCATGTAAGTTCACCATATGTAAAACTAGTTTGTACACTCTTGAAAAAAAATTATGGGTTCTTTTACTGTAAAATTTTCTTTAGAAAACAACAGAAGGGTATCATTTAACAAAAACTTCCATATGAGTGTTCCAATCATCCAAAAGTAACCATATCAGATGCTTCTTTCTCATCCTAATATATGACAAGCAAGTAGCAACTGATATTGAAAACCAGAAGTGTCATTTTCAGTGTAAGCAGCAGCATAGCTAAAGAAGTTGCAGTAACAAGGTTCCATTTGATGTCAGTTTAAGAAAGCTTACCAGTATGCTTTCTTTTCCTCCAGTAAATGTAAGTGAAAGTGGAAACAATCACAATCAACAGAAGGGTAACTGGAATTATCACCACAACATTTTTCTTATGCCCTCCCTTTATTTCTTCACGGATAGCGTATCAAAGAAATGAACCAATAGTAACTACTCAGAAAAATGTCCACAGAAAGATGAAGTAAAGGAAAACCAACAAAGGATTAAAGACCATACCAGTTTCTGAAGTAGCCATTCGAATATATATATCTTGCCCAGGAACCGAAGCAACCCTGAAATCCATTAGTGCTCCGAACCAAATGATGCAACCATTACCTTCTCCCCTGACATCTAAGTTTGCATAGGCTGTGCAAGAACAGTTTTCCCAGCATTTGGCCTTGCAATCCACAATTGTCAAATTTCCATTAACCCAAGACTTTGTAGTATCTGGCAATTTCAACCCACTAAATCTTTGAAAACCATCTTGGTTTTTGACCCCACAGCTCCATGGTTCACTAAGCACACATCCTTGGGTCCAATCCAATGCCTCATAATTTTGTTGTGATTTTGGCTTGAACCCTGTTAGACACTGGCAGGGTGGTGACTCACTCACTATACAATTCCCATATGAACCACAAAGATTGTAGCTGTCACAATTGTCTCGTGGCACCGAAGAATAAAGCCTCCAAGTCTGGTTTTCTTCAATCCAATTATAACGCTGACGAGAATAAACAGATTGGTTTAGAACAACCCTTGTAACCACTGACTTATTCTTGATGTTGTATGTGTAAAACACCTCATCATCATTGGATACAAATTCTAATTCGAAAAGGGGTGTGGTTTTACCACTGAATCTAACACCATTCCAAGGGCCACTCCTATAATACTTTGTCTCACCCTTCCACATAACCAATTCGGGGGTGTTACCAAGTACCAGACCCCATGTGAAATCCCCTGGAGAAGGGTCATCCCAGTTCTTCCATGCAGATAAATAACGATTAAGACCCGTTTTCATGTTCCATCCAATCTTCATTCCTGGCAAAAATGTATCACAAGGATAGTCAAAGCTCTGCCACAAGTAGTTTTGTGGATTCTGGTCTTCCTCATCTCTTAGTACTAAGTTTCCTGAGTCTAAAAGCTGTGCAATTGGACTCATTGCACGTGTCTGTGTTGTTGAGTTTGCTGACCAAACAAGAACTTCGTCCTCGTTAAGGATCACAAGTTTTCCCTCTTTGCTTATGATCAGCTTGCTGGAGTTGTCTTTGATAGGATTGTCACGGTTTGCAACCCAAACAACAGGTCTAACTGGGATACTTTTATACCATATTCCTAGGTAGCGGTTTGTGTTGTTGTTACCTGCACTGAAGAAACCCATTTCAAAGCTTCCATCTTTAGACGCCAAGGTCATGTCCTCCTGAAGTGACTGAAACCCGTTAAGGGTATCAGTTGTGGATGAAAATTGAGGGAACAATGTGAGTAGTTTTGTAACAACAAACAAAAAATGCAAAATGGCCATTTCTTGTGGTCAATATCGAGGTACACCCTGAATAACATTGTTTGTACAATTATATATGGCCCCAATTTAGATTAATCATATAGATATGTGAAACAGTGCATTGATGGAAACCTCTCTGGTGGGGAAACCAAAGAAGAAAAGATCAAATTTGCTGTTTGAATTTGGGAGCATTATTGTGTTAATGTCAAACCTACCAGGCAAGTTGTTCCAATCTAATGGCTCACAGCCTCACACCTGTCAGGTGTGAATGGGTTGACTTCATATCTTATTTATGTATGGACTCGCGTGGACGCTTTAAAATCTTTTTAAGAAAAATATCTATCACAAACTTTTCTACTTTATGTGAATGCAAGAATGTATAAGGAGCATTGCTCTCAGAATAAACGTCTTTTCTTCAAGTGTATAATAAATCTTCAGCCTTTTGAAAGTTTAAGAAAAGAGATAGGCATAAAAGTTTGACGCGACTCAGATTTCTTACTAAGTTAAATATTCAAGGATTTTATATTTCTGACTTTCCATATATAAATAGAGGGTTTTATGGTTATTATGTTACATAACCCAACTTGATTTTCCTACTCACACAATAAAAAAGAGAGAGTAAGTGAAATGATGAAAGAGAAGGAAAAAAATATGAACTTCACCTCTTTGATGTGTATGTAGAAAAATGGAATTAGATTATGTCACATGATAAACATAAAATCCATAAATAAAAATATGTAAGATTCATATATAAAAAGTTATATGTGATACTCATATCAACACTGAAATCAAAAGATATGATATCACGTGAGAAATATAAAAGTCGATATTTAATACGGAGAAAAATCCATCAATTCTTTGAAAGTTGCTAGCACCCTACTACTAATATGTACTCCAGCCGCAGCTGCTCCACTACAAAGTCATACATAATAGCTCACACACGAATGGGAAAAATGTTTTTGGTTTGTTGTATAAATTTTTTTTTACTACACTCACATAAAAAAAATTAATTTCTATTATAAAAAAAGAGAAAAAAAATTAATAAAATTTACTCATTTTTATATGATTGTGATAGATATATTTTTTTTTGTAGCAAAAACAAAAATATTAAACCTTAAAATAATGGAAAAAAATGTATATTATTTTAAAGGAGGTAAAGTTGTGTCATTTTAAGTGAGAGAAAGAGATAGATAAAAGAAGAGAGAGTGGACAAAAAAATATAAAAATGTAGGTCTCACCTCTTTGTGAGAGTGAAAGAATATAAATTGTGTTACTTAAAAAAATAAATATTTTTTCCTAAAATAATTATGGACACTTGTGGTTTCACCGAAAAGTTGAATATGGGCATTTAATACTTGTCGTGTACCTTTGGTTTATTGTTTTGATTCATAAGAAATCGGTCAAGGTTGGATTTTTTACCGTACTAATGTAATTATTTATATATTTTACCAATTTAGTTAGTGTGTCAAATATATTACTAGAATAATGTAGATAGACACGCTTCAAATGCATATGCATTTAGTCGCGCACTAATTAGATGTGCATATGATATGGCCAGGATCACAAATAAGGGTGTGAATTTGGTTTAAATAATCTAAGCTTGTAAAAAATATTTTAGGCTTCTGTTAGTGTAACGCCCCGTCTGCAGCCGGTTAATTAACATTTATATGATATTAAGTACAACGCATTTTAACTTATTAAATGCGGAAGCTTGTGGTTAACTTTTTTTCTTTTTTCTTACGTATTGCAACCGTATCTACTCTCTTTTTTACATTTCGCGGACGACATTCCATCTGTTTTTTGGACTATTGGGATTAGTTCTCATCCTAAAAATTTTCACCTGATTAACAATTTATCAATATACTAAGCATGTCACAAAATGAATAAACATTTTGCCTAACCATCTACAACCTAGGTTATCTCATAGTAATATGATCTCCATATAATGTTCATAATGTTACTTAAATAATTACATCAAATAAACAAAAGAGATGCAATTAAATAAGTAACACAGACCTGAGCATGCATCACTACAACATATACAAACTAGCAGCATGGCATAGACATCCCCTATGCTCTCAAAATAATGACATGGCATATAGATACATATCCGAAATAAAACCATGCCAAATACATATCAGCATATCAATCAAATCATACTATCAGGTCAGATAATATCTCTCCTCTGGCCTCTTGTCACGCGATGCCTCAGCACCATCAACTCTTGTACCTGAAATGGTAATCCCCATAATGCGGGGTGAGATAATATAACTACCTCAGTAAGCTAGGGACCCTTGGAAGGCTCCTCCACCCCTAAGCTCACTTCTGGTATAATCACAGTACATAAAATATCCATGCATGCATCCGAATATGTATGGCAATGCAGTGTGCAATAATGTAATCCTACTAGCCAGAGAATATAACAAGTATGCATTACGCAATGAAACACCGTCTTGCAACATACTGTATAAGGAAACATCGTCTCATACTATGCATAAGGAAACACCATCTTATGCCTCACACAAGGAAACACCGTCTTATGCCTCACACAAGGAAACACCGTCTTGTGTGGCACACAAACATACATACATATACATGCAACATATAACAAATTATTTTCAACATACCATATCAAACTACCACCCTCCCTCGGAGTTTGATGGAACAAACGGGAAATTAACCCCAAGGACCGAAAGCTTACCTGTCAAGCACTGTCCTCCGATGAACTCCCTGTATCCAACGGGTCAACACCAAAATCTCTCACAATATCACAACCTATTCCAAATATGTGAAGACAATCAGTACATATATACTTGTCTACCACATTCAATTTTCAAGACTACACATACAAGACACCTGCACTTGATTTTGAGTCCAATTTATCAAGATGTTCTAAATGGCGATTTCATAATTTTTCCTTTTACGAGAACCAATTCCAAGCATGTTTAACAAAGGGATTCTCCTACAAATCACCCTCAAACTACTCATACCATCAAATTTTTACATTTTCAACAACTAGTTTAGGGTTCATTCAACAAGTTATCAACTAAAACTCATATCCAACAACTAAACCCCATCATAATTACATGTTTAATCTCCATGAACAGTCCCTAAAAAAAATCAAATAGACCTAGGCTTGCGACTCAAAAATCAACCAACCAAGTTAAGCTTTCTTACCTTGAACCAACTCCAACACCACCCAATATTATCCTCCAAGCTTCAATCCATGAAAAGCATCATTTTTCTTCTCTTTGTGAATAGTACAGCAACCTAGAGATGCAGAAGTCTCTCTCCTAAGAGCATCCCAAGGTGTATAAATGGTTGGGCTTTGTTCACAATGATCTAGGCTACAAGTTTCATGTTGATCTATAGGCTTGAAAGTGGCTAGAAAATGAAGGAAAAATCTTGAGGAATAGCAACCATGGAGGTCGCTTGGCTGCTGTTTGGTCGAAAGAAGAAAAAGAAATGGACGAGAGAGAACGAGTGTTTTCACACACTTAAGTAAATTTACTATTCCAGCGGGTATAAATTTATGTATCTCGTTCACTTAACTCATATCCCAACTTGACATACTTGTCCATAATATTTCTGTGGTAATATTTACAAATTTACTTTCACTTTTTGAGTAACTTCATTTACCCGCATTTTTATCCCTTAACTGTCATTTTTAACACTTTCACCAAATGTGACTTTATTTCTTTTTCTTCTACTTTTCTTATAATTATTCTTCAATATTATCATTAAAATCATTAATTCATAATTAAATCCACAATTTCATGTGAGGATTATTATAGTTAGTCTTATATAGGCCCAAATTATAAGTCTGATCTGACCTATATTTAACAAACAAAAGCTTTGGCCTAGATTCGCTAGCCTGTTTAAACATATTAAATATTTAATAATTAAAATAATATTATTTTATTACTCAAAATTATTAAAATAATAATTTTATTTATTTTATTTAAAATAATAATTTTATTTATTTTATTTAAAATAAATAATATGATATTGACTGGCCTCTACGATTATAAGCCCGACATTTAAAAGAAAGTCTATGACCTGCTTTTTAAATAATTTTTTTTTTTAAATCTAGATCTGATCTATTTGACTATATTTAATAGGCTGAATTTAATCTAATATAAATTAGACTGTAAGAGCCTGTTTGGTAGATGTATGTTTATAATTTTTCCTGGAAAGTAAAAGTGGGTTTTGTATTTACCCATGTTTGGTAGGAGTTTTTACATTATTTGTCTGGGTATCCAGTTTATCCAGGAATTGGTCTTATGAACAAAATGTGTTACGAATTCCCTTCTCAAATTACCCCCAAAGGGGTTGTATTTGTGAAATACTGGAGGTAAGGAATTGTTGTCTCATTTTTTCGGATAATTGTACCCTTCATTTTTGTTAATTACCAAGAGACAAGAGGTATTCATTGTAATCCTTGTTATATTAAACTACACAACATTTGTGCTATTATATAGCAAACCAATTGAAGAATACAAAGAGATACACTCAATGTGGGACTATACAAAGAGACACACTCAATGTGGGACTTCTATACTATGTACAGCAACACTCCCCCTCAAGCTGGAGCATATAGATCGTATGCACCAAGCTTGTTACATATCTGGTCTATCCTAGGTCCTCTTAAAGACTTAGTAAATACATCAGCTAATTGATTATTGGAGTTGACAAAACGAGTGACTATATCTCTTGAGAGAACCTTTTCCCTAAGGAAATGACAATCTATCTCAATGTGCTTAGTCCTTTCATGAAACACTGGATTTGAAGCAATATGCAAAGCAGCTTGATAATCACAAAATGAGAGATGTTGGGCTAGTGTCTCCAAACTTGAGTTCCTTCAGTAGCTGTTTTAACCAGATGAGTTCACAGGTAGTTGTGGCCATGGAGCGATATTCTGCTTCAGCACTTGATCTAGCAACTACACTTTGCTTCTTACTTCTCCAGGAAATCAAGTTATCTCCAACGAATACACAATACCCAGAAGTGGATCTTC